GTGGTCGGTCCCCTGTCCGTCCCTTTGGGGTCGGGTCGACGGTCCGCGGCCGCCCCGCCGATCAGCGCTGCCGCTGGCCAGGCCGACGCTCCGCGGCCGCCCTGCCGCTTGCTTGGGCCCGGCCTGCAGGGAAGAAAAGGGTTCGATCGAAGACGAAGAAAGCGGATATCGAGGGTTTGGGATATACGCGTTATTGGACAGTCGAGCAAATAAGGCCTAACAAGATTTAAATGATTGTTGTTGTAAACCGGGGGCCAACGATAAAATTTGACCTTCAAGAGTTCTCCTGATAGAAACCGGGTACGAGCCCCGGGAAAACCTCAATCCAAAAATAAAAAGTGCACCGGGCGGGGGGATCAACAAACATTTTTCTTCAGAAATGAGAATTCAACAACAACAACAACAACAACAACAACAACAACAACAACAACAACAACAACAACAACAACAACAACAACAACAATTACTAGCACGTGGGGACACTCCGTTCTCACCAGTGCCAGGGTTTTCATAGGAGGCGGGCAATACCCCCACTTTGTGGGGGGGCCGGTTCAAGCTCTACCAAATTTCCAAACGACTCTTCGCCACCACCCACACCCAGCTTCCCGCCCTATGACGTTCGGACACTTCACTTCGTGGCATGCGGACGACCGTGGCTACTATTCAGGGCCCCGCGGCCGACGACGACGGCGTGCGCGCGCGAAGAAAAAACGAATGTGTCCCGCATGGTATTATTTGACAGGGATGATGGCCCTGGCAGGTGCGCAACCGTTGTTGCAGAAGTTCGAAAAAGTTGCTCGCAAAAGCCCGTTTGACAGAAATGTTTAAAAAGTGTTGGGTTTCCTACGAATCCGCAAGAGCGCGCGGGATGAAATTTTGACATTTTTTTTTTTTTTTTTTTTTTTTTTTTAAAAACATTGGTTTCTTGATGTTTTTTTGTTAAAATCGCTACGAAAACTAAGGTTTTGGAAGGATTTCGTCTTGCGCGCGCGAATGTCCACTTTACCTTATTGTTTGCAAGGGATTCTTGAAGTTTGGTTATGTTAGAACAAGAAATGTCCACTTGAGCTTGTTTTTTGCGAGGGAAAACGGGGGGGAACAAAACAACCGGATCCGGACCAACCCGTTTTGCCTGAGACTTCCTCACGAAAATGATGAAAATGTGGCTGCGGCCTAGGCTCGGCGAGGGGGCCGTGCACCAGGGGTCCCAACAATAATTATTCTTTAGAAGTAATAATGTTCAACAACAACAAACACAACGCAACAAGCAGAATTCGCACCACGGATTGTCACTTCAGCCACGCACCCAAGGACAATGAATGCCCGTTCGCCCCCCTCACTCTGATAAAACAACCGCTTTGATGTATGATTCACTGCTCCTGGTCAGAGCTGACAGTGTCGTAATCAAGTCGAAAAGAAGCTCCCTCTCTTTGATTCCTCACCCGTCAGGGGGGGGGTCCTGGGGGGGGGGTAGGGGTCAGGGGAAGGGTCCCGTGGGGGGTCCCGGGGGGGGGGAGCCAGATATGCATTCTCCCCTGGGGGTCCAAGGGCCTCAGAAAGTGCCAAGAAAGGTCAAGAGTGCCCCAAAAGGCCTCCGAGATGGTCCAAGGTCTAACCTGATCGCAAAACTGTCGGTCCCACGCACCTTCACGCCCTCCAGACTGCCAAGGAGGTCACCAAGTCGTCCCAAGAAGCCTCCGAGAGCACTCACGAGAAGGGCCCCTCGAGGCAAACTTTGATGATTGTCTGTGGCTTTTGTTGAAGATTTGGGGGTTCTCGCCATTTCCGCTCCCCGCCGCTCCAAGACGGCCCAGACGGACCTCAAGATTGCCCCAAAACGACCCAAAAGGCTTCCAAGAGAGCCCCCTAGCAGCTCAAGAGAATCCAAAGACCCCCAAGACGGCTCCAAGAACGTGCCCAGACTGGGGAGCCGAACGGACATTTCGAGCCTTCCGCCCCAAGTGGCTCCCTCCCAGGAGGCCCCAAGAGGTCCCCAAGAGGTCCCGAGAGGCCCACAAAATGTCCCCAGGAAGCCCGAAGAGGCCCTAGAGGCTCCAAAGAGGCCCCCAAGAGGCTCCCAAGAGTCAAGAGGCCCCAGAATTCCTCCCCAGAGGCTCCCGAGAGCCTTCCGAAGAGACCCCAAGAAGCACCCTTTGGCCCACGTCAGCGTCGTCATCGTCGTCGCCGCCGACGCCGCCCTTGTCGTCGTTGCCCCCCTTCAGGGTCGGCGGCACCGGCCGTAAGGCCTCCGCAATCGCAGGGACTATGCACGGTGCAGGCCCTTGCAGCAATTAGCGGCCGCAACTGTGGATCATGTCCCCCAAGCGCAATTGCCATTTTTACCTCCTCCTCCTCCTCCTCCTCCTTCTGCTCCTCCTCCTCCTCCTCCTCCTCCTCTTCCTCCTCCTTCCCTCGCTCCCACGCGGGCCCCAGGGATGGCCCCAAGAGGCCCTCCAAGGCCATCCACTTGCTGCCAGAGATCTCTCTGTTCACTCGGGTTGCCCGCTTTGTTTTACTACATGTGTCTCTTCGTCGCTTTTCCGGTTCACTCTCATGGCTGAGATTTCCGAATGGGCTGGTGGGGGTACGAGAAACGTGAGGACATTATGTTCTTTTTGAATCGGACCGGCATCCCAGATCATTGGATAACATAGTTTGTCGGTCGCGATCGGTAGCGATCGATCGGCACGCATAGTCGGTCACGACCGATCGATCGCGATCGACTTGAAACAAATCGGTCGCGACCAGTAACGGAATTTGAAGCAACATCAGTAGCGACCGATTTCGTCGGTCGCGACTCGGAAACTCCAGGATCCAATTATTTGCGACGCTGGCTGCCGAGGTCTCATTCGACATCGGCAACCGGACCGACATCGGAGCGATATCGACTGCGCGGGCCCCGCCTCCACCAAGATGACGACCGCGGGCACGCTGGCGGCCAATCGCGCACAAGGCGGACATCGAGCATCTCCCTCACATGGCGCTGTTGGGCGCCCTTTGTCGCTGTTGGGCGCCAGTTCATCGCTATTCGGCGCTAATGGGCGCTGTTGGGCGCTTCTTTACCTAGCGAGCGTGGTTTGGCCCCATTCGCCCAGATCTACATATGTGTATCTATGAATAGGTGTATATATAATAAAAGTGTTGTTTATGTATTTGTCTATGTATGTGTAGATGTGTTTGTATGAAAGAGCGTGATCCACCGCCGCGTAACTATGGAAAATTCCCCCCCCTCTTCCTCAGGAACCCGGCCCCCCCCCCTCCGAAACCCCCCCCCCCGTTGGACCCCCCCCCCCTCCCCTCCCCCGGACAACCCCCCCATTCCCCTAACCCGCATAACCCCCCTCCCCCCTCGAGAACCGGTGGGGGTCACTACCGGTTCGAACCCCCCCCCCTCGAAAACCGGAGGGGGGTCACTACCTGTTCGAAACCCTCCCCCCCCCCCTCACCGCCAGCAAACGACTCCCGATCCCTACCACCGTCCGCACCACATCCCCCACTGTTGTTCCTGGCACCACTGTCCTCACCACCACTGTCCCCACTGGTTCCACCACCGTCCCTACTGTCCCCACCAGTGCCCCCACCACTGTCGCACCGTCCCCACTGTCCCCACCACTGTTCCCACCACGGTTCCACTCTCCCCACTCTCCCCATTCTCTCCACGGCCCCATCCACTGCCCGACTATCCCCACTGTCCCCACTGTCCCACTGACTCCTCCGCTGTCCCACTGAGCTGTCCCACTGTCCCCACCACTGTCCCCACTGTACCTCTGTCCCATTGTCCCACCGCCGTGCTCGCCACCGCCTTCACCACTGTCCCCACCACCACTGTACCCTTCAATGTCCCACTCTTTCCACCACATTCCCATTGTCCCCACACCACTGTCCCCACCACCACCGTCCCCACCACTGTCCCACCACTGTCCCCACTATTCCCACCATTGTCCTCACCAGTGTCTCCACCACTACTGTCCCCACCACTGTCCGACTGTCCCCACCACTGTCCCGCTGTCCCCTCACCACTGTCCCCACCACCACCGTTCCCACCTCTGTCCGTACCCCCCCTCGGTTTTCGAAGGGGGGGGGGTTCGAACCAGTAATTACCCCCCCCCCTTTTCATGATGAACTGGGGGGGGGAGGGGTTCGAACTGGTAGTGACCCTCCCCGGTTTTCTGGAGGGGGGTTCGAACTGGTAGTGACCCCCCCGGTTTTCCGCCATGAGCGGTAGAACACGCTCTTTCGTATGTGTATATATATATATATATGTTGGTCAACGTGGACCCGAAACACGGTGTTCTAGCGGGCGATGTGGACCAACACATTTGCTGAAATCGATGTGGTGCAAGCATGTGGTGTCAGCTACATGGTGCAACCTATGTGAAGATATGTGCACATGTGTGTCATGTAAGGTGTGCGGTGTCACGCACGTAGTGCAAGATATGTCGTGCAATATCAGCTATGCAGCTTATGTGATGTAACGTATGTGGTGTAATATTGTTAGTGCGATCTATGTGGTGCAGTCTACGTTGTGCACCAACTGTGGTGACATTTGGTGAAGCATGGTGCAAACTGTGTTGAGTAAGTTATGTGGTGCGTACTGCTCTGTACAACCAAGGCTCGATAATCTATGCTGTGCAAGCCATGTGGCGCAACGGGTGGCGACGACGCAACGACGGGCAACGACGAATGGCGACGGCGCGGAGACGGGGCGACCACAAGCTGGCCTTGGTGACATACCGGCCGCGACGAGGCGGCGACGGGCGTTGACGGAGCGGCGACGGGGCGGCCACAAGCCACCCCGGGCGACGCACCGACCCGCTTCCTGTAAGCTCAACCACATACCCCTTAGTGAGCGCACCGCGTGTTGTATACATATGCGTACGTATATGTAACGCGCACGCTTGCACCAGTGCGTACACGCGTCACACTAGATCTGTTCAGTCCAAGGCGAGCGGGACCTTCCGTGACTGACTGAAGGCTGGCATCGACTCCCCAGGTCCCGCCTCCGCCAGGATGACCACCGCGGCGACGTGGGCGGCCACCGCGGGCCGCCAGCCCCCCCGGGGCCCAGCGCGCTGCGCCGCGGCGGCCTCCACAAAACGGAGCAGCGGCTTGGCCTCCGTGGGAAGGCGACAAGCGCTCGCTTCGCGAATGGCGACAGGGAGACGACTCGCGAGCGTCAGGGCGACGATACGGCGACGGCAGAGCCGTGAACATCCAGCTTCTGTTAAAACGTGCACGCGATTTGTTTGTAGGCGGCCCTTCAGATTTAGCGCCAGTCGCTACATTTGGCGACGGCCGCCGCTAAATTCGCCGGCCCAACGGGCCAGAGGCGTGCTAAGATCTCCGGTGACTGCTTTACAATCTTTCTATTTCTACTTCGCGCGCGCGGGGCGGCCCCTGGGGGTCCCCGGGCGGAAAGTACCCCGGCAAGGTCCTGAGAGAGTCCCGGGAGGAGTCACCAGGGCGCTCCAGCAGCGCACCAACGCGGCTCCGAGACGTCCCCGAGAGCCCCAAGAAAGGCCAAGAGGCCCCCAAGAGGCCCCCAAGATGGTACACGAGGGGTCCGACATGCCACAAGATCGCTCCAAGACGCCCAAGATAGCCCCCAGACGCCCCAAGAGGCCTCCAAGAGCACTCCCAAGAGGGCCCCCGGAGGCAAAATTCATTGTTTTTCCTTAGGTTTTTGAGAGATTTTGGAGCTTCCACCTTTTCGGCTTCCCGACGCCCCAAGACGGCCCAAGAGGCCCCCAAGATCGCCCCAAGAGGGCCCAAGAGGCCCCCAAGAGGGCCCCAAGATGGCCCAAGAGGGCTCGAAGACGGCCCAAGAAGCCTCCAAGACGGTCCAAGAGGGCCCCAAGAACGCCCCCAAAGGGGCCCCAGAGAGGGAACACGAAACAACATTTCGAGCCCTCGGCCCTAAGAAGCCCCTACGAGGCCCCAAGAGGCCCCTATGAAGCCCCAAGAGGCCCCCACGAGGCCCTCAGGAGGCCCCCAAGAGTCCCCCAAGCGGCCCCAGGAGGCCCCCCAAATGCCCCCCCGAGCGCCCCTGGAGTCCCCCAAGCGGCCCCAGGAACCCCCAAAGCGCCGCATTGACACCAGGCCCTCGGGCAAACGGCAGACATGAGACTGTATGGGCCGGCGGAATGAGCGAAGCGATTAAATATTTAGCAACGGATACCTCTGAACAGCGACGACGACGCGATGTTGTTCCATGAGGGGGCCCACTTCTCCTGCATGTTTTTCACGCGCGGGCGATTTGCCATGCGCAGTGCGAGGAGGCGCTGTTTCCCTTGGAGTGGGCGCATGAAGGAGGCGGTGCTTCCTTCAAAAAAACAAAAAAACAAAAAACGGAGGAAAGTTTGGCACTGATATTGGGAGGGGGCCACGCCCCCTGCAGTGGAAGGGAGTGGAGCCGGGGGCGGGGGGATAACGAGGGACGGCACAACGAACGACGAGGGGCCGAGGGAAATCGGGGTAGGCATGTAGGACAAGAAAGCCTTGCGTCCTGTGAAGACGGAGGAGCATCGAAAGCATCCCTCGCCGCCAAAAAATTGTCGTGAGCGCCCGGGGCCGCGGCGACAATTTTTTGGCGACGTGAACATTGGTTCCGCGTTGGTTTACCGGCTTGGGCTTGGCGGCTGATTCACATGTCACATGCCGCTGGATGCGCTTGGACTTCCCTGATCAAGGCAACTCGCCTGGCGATCGTTTCTGGATGGGCTGATAGAGATACTAAGTGGTATGATGTTTGTTTTTGTTGAATTACTACGGCGCCCCTGGAAATACCGTCCCTTTCCCCAAGGCTGGCGCTTCATCCCGCGTCCTTATTGACGGCCCCGGGTCCTGGGGAGGGCCCCCAGAAGCCGACAACGGCAGCAAGCACCGCCGCCGTGCTTGCGCTCAAGACTGCGAGGGTCTGGGCAATCGAGGGGCAACGTCGGGGGGGGGGCCAGCGGGGGGGAAGCAGCGGGCTCGAATCGGCGATGCCTCGCCGATGGATCGGCGACAGATCCCCGAGAGCGGATCCGCACGTTCCTGGGCGCGGCGGGCCATCGGGCCCCTGACGGCGAGGAGTGCGCGATCGGGGGTCGATGCGTTCCCCCCCGATGACGAGCCAACGACACACGCCCATACCCCCAGGGGGGTCGGAGAGGGCTATGGGTTCGTGTGGTCGGATGGGGGGCCCCCGCTCGAACCGGAGCGTTCCCCACACCCATAGCCAGTCCTCCTCCCAACGACCCCCCTATGGGTATGGGTGTGTGTGTTGCTCGTTCGTCACCTGAGGCTATCCCCCCTTATCACTGCCCCCGAATAACCACGCGAGGCGCCAAGACTCGGGTGCGCGCCCCCCGCTGGCGATGCCTCAGAACCGCTGCCGGGACCCCGCGAGGCCTCGACGAGATCCCCAGCGAGCACCCACGAGGCCCCAGACCCCAGTCCGGGCACGGCGGCAGGATGTGCCGAAGGCCAGGACGCAGCTAGCCACGCGAAGCGCCAAGCATCGGCGGTGGACAAGCCTCCTTTCAGTAGACCTCCCCTTAGTGAAAACGGCCTGGGGCCGAAACCGACGGACCTGGGCCCGCAAAAGTGACGGCCGCGACGCCCTCTCGCGAACCGAAAGCGGCCCATTCCTTAATCGACGTGTCAGGGTAGGAGGTCTGTCAACCCCCGAGCCGAAGGCCAGGACGCAGCTAGCCACGCGAGGCGCCAAGAAGCGGGTGCCCCGTTGGCGTCCCCCGCTGGCCTCCCGCCACCCGACGAGCACGACGGCCTGCGGAGGCGCGCGCTCCTCCTCCGGGCAGGGCTGGCCACCCTGCGAGTGCCAGGCTTCTCTCGGAGGTGTCCAGGGAGCGGGGAGGGGGGGATTCGCAAGGCATGGCCCGAGCGGCCCCTGGCGGGGAGGGGGATTCGCAAGCATGGCGGGGAGGGGGATTCGCAAGAGCGGGGAGGGGGATTCGCAAGAGCGGGGAGGGGGATTCGCAAAGCAAGAGCGGGGAGGGGGATTCGCAAGAGCGGGGAGGGGGGGGGGCCGAGTGACAGGTTGAGGGAAGGAGAGGGGGCCATGGCCTCCGGGGACGTATCATGGCCCCGGCCATAATATATCTGGTCGAGACCAATGTTGCTTCAAATTCCGTCATCGGTCGCGGCCGACTTTGCAAGCGGTCGCGATCGGTCGCGACAGGCTTGGAGTGGCCATCAGTCGCTGCAGATAGCGACCGACAAAAATCTTGTACCCAATGATCTGGGAAGGGGAGTGGCCACTGAGCGGGGTTCGAATCCTCCTCGACGAGGAAGGCTGCACCGCGATTGTGGTGAGCGGGTCGTTGTCGCTCGTCGCGTCGCTGCCGTCGCCGTTGTCGTGTCGGTGGCTGCGCGCCGTGGCCGCGTCGCCGTCGTCGCCGTCGCCGGGTCGCCACGTGTCGTCCGTCTTCCGTCATCCTCGTCCTCGCCGTCGCTGGTCGTCGTCGTGTCGGTGGCTGCCGCTTTTCTCTCTGCCTGGACCTCGCACCCTTTCAGGGCGCCCGCGAGGCCAACCGAATCCCCCAAAGCATCCAACACGCCAAAATCAATCAGAACATCGGACCGGGAGAACGGATCGTAAGGGGCGTATTGGGTTGGATCGGCCGCGCCAAGTGGCACGATCACGACACGCACAGGGTCGGGCCGCATCGGATCGTCGGAATATGCGAATCGACTCGGGTCGGGCCAGCCAGAACCGATATCAAATCGGATCGATCGGATCGGAATGGGACCTGACCCCAAACAGCAGCCGGCACGCTCGAAAGAATGAAAGCTCTGGCACAGGCTGGCCCCTGGGGCGTGAATGAAGATCAGTCGGGGGCGGCACAGAGGGGGGTGTCCAAGAGGGGGGGGTGCAAATCATGACCGGCGGCATGTGCGCGACCCAGCGGGGGGGCCAGGGACGTGATGAAATAAGCAGAGGCGCCATGAAATCTGGGGAAATACCATGGCCCACGCCATGATATCCCCCCCCCCCTAGTCATCACCCCTCTCTTTTCCGCCCCCGAATCAGAGGTACAGCAAGCACGCACACGTGGTGGACTCCGGAAGCCCTGCATCCCAAAAACGTGTCCGAGCCGCATCTCTTACTTCCGCCGCCTGCCGCCGGCCTCCGCCCGCGGAGGCGGCCTCGGTTTGCTTCCGCGGGCTCCCGCCGCCCTTCCGCCGCGGAGGAGGAGGAGGAGAAGGAGGAGGAGCGGGGAGGAGGAGGAGGAGGAGGGGGAGGAGGAGGAGGCGGAGGCGGAGGAGGAGGAGGAGGCGGAGGAGGAGGCGGAGGAGGAGGAGGAGGATGAGGCGGAGGCGGAGGAGGATTTTTTTGGTTTTCCCCTGCAGGCCGAGGGGGCGGTGACAATTCCTTCGACCCTCAAAGGCGAGGCCCTTCCTGGAACGCCTCATAACACAGTCGACCCGCATCATGAGGACGCGCTTGTCAGGATGCAAGGGCCTTGGGAAGGCCATGCGGGGCACGGCCGGCAGAAGCGGTCCAGGAGGGGCCGACGTGGAGGGATGCAAGGGCAGCCTTGGAAAGTCGAGAGTGGCCAGCGAAAGTTGCAGGGATGCGAGGGTAGCCTTTGAGAGTGGCTCATCCTTGCTGTGCGGGGTGACTGCACGTTCCCCGAACGACGGAGAAGGGCTCACAAGGGGCCTCGATCGCGGACCACGCGCCTCGACAGAGCCGGCCGAGCGCTCACGTTCCGCGCTTCGCAGTGGGGCCGCCATCCGCGGGGCAGCAATTTGACGTGCCCCTCGGGTGCCGTCAAGAGAGACGGGGGGGGGGAAGTCGAAGGACGAGGAGCGAACGTCGCCATGAAGGGGCAACGTCAGTCTCTAGCCGCTGGCGTGCGCCTGCGCACTCAAGCGGCCGCCGCAGCGGAAAGCAGGCGGCACCGAGGGCGGAGCCGCGCGCGCATCGCGCGTGTTGACACGAGCTAGAGGAGCGGGGCGAGGATGGCTACGCTGCCCCGCGCCACCCGCGAGGTCGGGCGGGAGCCTCAGAGCGTATCTGGCTGCGGCGACGCCGCTGACAGCCCAACCGTACGCCAGCGGGCCCTTCTCGGCATTCCTCTTGCCGAGGTGGAACAATCGGCAAGCCACCGCCATCCTAGCTGCGGAGCTCGCGATCCCGATCTCGCCGCCCTGGGCGCTATCGATGGGCGGGAGGGCCAACCTCGTGAGCACCGACCTGCTCAGCTGGCCCCTCAGGAGGCCAAGGCGGTGGATCATGCGCGCGCATATCAAGCCATGGCCGATTCCGTCGTTAGCGTCGCAACCGAGGAGGTGCTTCCACCTCTCTCAGCACGTGCATCCTGAACGACGTCGTCCATGCTCCGGCGAGGGTATTCATAGTGGTCCAGAGCCGCGCAGGAGGCACTGTCGCCAGATGGCCACGGAGATGGAGACGCAGCCATAGCTGCTAACAGACGGACGAGGGACAGGAGAAGGAGGAGGACAAAGGAGGAAGGGAAGAAGAAGACGAGGCTGCGGACAAGCAGAGAGCGGTCCAGACCCGCGCTGCTTGATACCGGGCGCGGAACTGGAGTGGGCCTCACACAATACCTCCCTCTTGCTGCATTGGCGTAGTGTCGGAAGTTGCCGAATGCGGCTGGACAACAGAACAGATCTGCTGGCCTCTTGGAAGTTATATAGAGGTGACCCCGAGCGGGCGGCAGATGTCTTGTCGCACCTGGTGTAGGCGAGTGAAGGCTTTTGCCGCCCACAGCCCCTCCCCCCCCTGGGGCCCCGAATCTTGGACTTGAGGGGGAGGCCCCTCCCCCCACAACTCGCGGGGAAGGGGGGGGGTAGAGCGGTCATTTTTCTCCTCGACGGCGTCAAGATGGCCCCCAGAGAGCCGCCAGGACGGCAAAGGAAACATCCAAGACTTCCAGGGGCCCAAATGAACGTCCATAACGGCGCGCGAAATGCCTCCAAACACGCCCTCGTTAGCGCCCAGGACAAACCCCGGCACGACCAGAACCACTTGAAGAGAACCTGACGAACGTATTTCAATGTGTTCCTTGTCTTCCGTGCCATTCGGCCCAAGATGGCCTCAGCAGCCCCTTTGAGACGGCGGCGATGCTGGCTGACCCTCTTCCTCCCCCTCTTCCTCCTACTCCTCATTATCCTTCTCCTCCTCCTCCTCCTCCTCCTCCTCTTCCCTCCTCCTCCTCCTCCTCCTCCTCCTCCTCCTCCTCCTCCTCCTCCTCCTCCTCCTCCTCCTCTTCCCACTTCTACGACGACGCTGGTTGAACGAACGACGCCCGACGACAACGACGAACCCGAAGACGACGACGACAACTACGACGCCAAAGACGTCGACGTCGACGTCTCGAGGGCGGCGCCGACGCGGACGCCGACACCGACGACCGATTTCCTTCACGCGACGGCGCCGATCCCGCCCAGCGGCGCGCGAGCTCCTGGTTGGCCAGCCACCGCGCCAACTTCCCCACGGTCGGGAAGTCCGCGTGCCGCCCGCTGGCCGGGACGTCCTGTGGAGCAGACAAGAGGCCGTCCGTACCAGACTCAAGCGAATATGACTGCGTGACAGTCCCCCCCCAAAACATGCAACGTCGGGGAACCATTATGACGGATTTGTTTTGTCAGCTCTCGGCCTTTAGTGGCCCTCGGTCAATTCAAGGTATGACAAGTGGTCTTGGGCAAGGGTCGCTCGGCCTTCGGGAATTCGCACATGAAAAATGCATCCGATCTGGATCAGCTGGGATCCGGCCCAACGTACTTCCACCCCTACTCGTGTCCGAAGTCGCGTCGCAACACGTCCAACAACTCTTGTAATAGGGTGTAGTCGGCGTGCTTAAAGATAGACATGTTGTCCATCTATATATATATATACATGTATATATATATGTATATATATATATATGTATATATATATATATGTATATATTTATCCTTTCTGTATATATATATATATGATTTCGCTTCGTGTCCCAACATGCCAATCGCATCCATTGCCGGTGTTGTCATGTGAAAGAGCGCGTTCTGTGGTCGCTTGGAACGGGTGGGGGGGGGTGAAACCGGACCCCCCCCGCCCTCTCCCGTGACGGGCGGGAGGGTCGACCCCCCCCCCCCTCCCGCCCCCTCCCGTGACGGGGGGGGGAGGGGGTTCCGACCCCCCCCCTCCCTCCTCTACTTCCCCTCTCCTCGAGCCGGCGCTTGTGTCGGCGGCGGCTGGCGACGGCGGCGGGGGCGACGATTTCCACTTCTGGGCCGACGGCGGCGCTGGCGGCGGCGGGCGGCGGTGGCGGGGAGCATCGACGAGGACGACGGTGGTGATGGCGGCGGTGGTGAGTTGTGGTGGTGGTGCTGGTGGTGGCGGCGGAGGTGGTTGTGGTGGTGGTGGTTGTGGCGGTGGGTGGTGCTGGTGGTGGTGGTGGCGTGGTGGTGTAGTGGTGGCTTGTGGTGGTGGTGGTGGGTTGTAGTGGTGGTGGTGGTGGTTTGGGGGTGGTGTGGCGGTGGTTTGTGGTGGTGGTGGGTTGTGGTTGTGGCGGTGGTTTGTGGAGGTGGTGCTGGTGGTGGTGGTGGCGGCGGTGGTGGTGGTGTGGTGGCTTGTGGTGGTGGTGGTGGGTTGTAGTGGTGGTGGTGGTGGTTTGGGGGTGGTGTGGCGGTGGTTTATGGTGGTGGTGGGTTGTGGTTGTGGCGGTGGTTTGTGGAGGTGGTGCTGGTGGTGGTGGTGGCGGCGGTGGTGGTGGTGTGGTGGTTTGTGGTGGTGGTGGTGGGTTGTGCTGCTGGTAGTGGTGGTGGTTGTGGCGGTGGTGGCGGTGTTGTGGTGGTGGTGGTGGTAGTGGTGGTGGGTGGTAATGGTGGTGGTGATGGTGAATTGTGGTGGTGGTGGTGGTGGTGGCGTGGTTGTGGTGGTGTGGTGGTTGTTTGTGGTGGTGGTGGGTTGTGGCGGTGGCGGTGGTTTGTGGACGTTTGTTGTGGTGGTGGTGGTGGCGGCGGTGGTGGTGGTGGTGGTGTGGTGGTTTGTTGTTGTGGTGGTGGTGGTGGGTTGTGCTGCTGGGAGTAGTGGTGGTTGTGGCCGTGGTGGTGGTGGTGGTGTGGTAGATTGCGGTGGTGGTGGGTTTTTGTGGTGGTGGTGGTGGTGATGGTGAATTGTGGTGGTGGTTGTGGGGGTGGTGGGTGTGGTGGTGGTGGTTGTGTGGCGCTGTTGGTGGTGGTGGTGGTGGGTTGAATCGGTGGTGGTGGTGGTGGCGGTGGTAATGGTGGTAACGCTGCGCCCCCGCTGTCGCCGGCGCCAACGCCGGCGCTGCTTGCCGCCGCCAGCGCCGGCGCCGTCGCGAGGGGGGGGGGGTTTGACCCCCCCCCTGACTGCCTCTGGTCATCGTCGCTGCGTCCCCGCCGCGGGCGCCGCTGGCGGCCGCCAGCGCCGGCGCCGAAGGGGGCCGGGGGGGGGGCTTCGGGAGGGGGGCGGTTTGGAGGGAGGGGGCCCCCCTGGTTTTGATCGACGGCGCCGAGTGTTGGAGGGGGGGGCCCGCCCCCCCTTTCGAAACGCGCCGCCGAATGTTCCCCAGGCAAGCGCCCGTGAAACGCGTTCTCTCTGTCGAAAAAGTCACGCGCGCTCTCCATGCCGAGGGCGACAAGTGCAATCTTCCCAGCTATGGCCGCCCTGGCCGCGGCCGCCTCGATAGACCCTCGGGCCGCGCGCATCTCATCTGGTGTGCCCCGTCCACGTTCGAATCCGCGCTGCGTTGAAGTCAGATGGTCCTCTGCGCCTGCTCGCTGGGGCAGACTCAGCAACGTGGATCCCAATCGCTCGCGGGCCACGCGAAGCCCACTGTTTGGCGCGTAGTTGACGCGAGTGTCGAGAGCGCCCTTGTTCCTGCAGATGGCGCTGATTTTGGATGCCCCCATATCCTCCGGGGCCGTGCCTGTGTTCCAGCAAGCGCCGCGCAGATTTGCAGGCCGCTGCAATCCCCGCGGCGCCTGAGCAATCGATCTCCAATAATCTGCAGGAGCGCAGTCTGGACCACCTCCTTCGCCCCCCTTCAGCGCGGACATGGTCGCTGACATCTCGCGTCGGAAATGACGCTCCGTCCGCGGGCAGTGGGTTTCCTAGCGGGGCTCGTTGGCCAGCGTCGCCGGTCTGCCTGGTCCCTGAACCTACTCGACGAAATCAGCCATTGCGTCGGCCGGGTCAGCGCCATAAACGAGTGCCCCACCAGGATTGTCGAGCCGCCCTTGCTTCCAGGGCTTCGGTTTGCAATGCTTCGAGTCGAAAAGCGCCCTTGCGACTGGCAGCGATGGCGGAGTCGAACCAATTTAGTTCTGTCCTCTTCAGTCAACGTTCTCACAGCCCTCGAAAGCGCTTCTCTTCTAATCGATTGCGCTGGTTCCGCGCGGCTATTCGATTGCGCTGGTTCCGCGCGGCGTTGCGCTGGTCGATCCGAGTCCGACGCGCGCCGGGGCGCTCGCGGCTCCTGTCGTCAGAGACAGGGGGCGGGAAGACCACCGCTGCCGCGATCGCTGCTGTCGCGCCGCGTTCCCGTCGATTTCCCACTAGTCCCGCAACGCCCGCGAGGGATGGAAACCGACGGCTGCAAAGATGGCATCGCGAATAATGGCTGAACTCCGGGATCTGCGAAGGCGCGACTTTCCGCCGGAGTCGCGTCGGCAGCGGGCCTCGCCGGGATGCCCCGCTGCGCCCGAGCCTGGATGGCGGCCCGTCGCGAAAGCGCCCCCCCCGTGGCCTCGCGCCCCGCAGGCGCGGCGGAGATCGGCAGCATCGCGCGGAAGCAATCCCAGTACATTGCACTTGTCTTCGGAAATGCCCCCCGGCGGGGCCCCGCACCTGCTTCCGCGGAACGGAATTCTCACTGCGCGGGCTGATCGGTCATGGGATTCGCGACACGCGGAACGGCCGACGCAGAATTCCGCGAGCAAGTCCCCGCCGACCTGGGCCAGGACCCGCCTGCCCCAAGCATGATCTCCAAAGGCGCCTGCTTCTCCCCGGTCTGCGCGGCCCAGCCTGACGTTGACATCGGTTGTCTTGCGCGCGCCGAGCATCCCCCGCGTAATTCCTCGAGGCAGCTGGGAATTACGTGGGGCGCGCGTAATCGGCGACGCGCATCTCCTTGCCCAGACGGATCTTTCATTGGGCCATCCGGTCCGGAATCTGTTCGCGGGCCTCGACGCGACGAACCCTGGCCGGCGCCGCGGCGAATCCAACTCTTGCCCGAGATCGAACGTCGGCGTCCGCCCCGGACAAAATATAGCATAGCATCCGCTGTTTTCGTCTCCGCGCTCTTCGCCTACGTGCCCCGGCCCCCACGGGCATTCGGCGCGCGCGTCGTGTCTCTGCATGCGGGCGATGATGTCAACGAGCTAACTGTCCAGGACCCCCCGCGCGTTCCGCGCGGCAGCCACGACGTCGCGTTTGATTGCGGCATCTGCGACCAGACGTCGCCCATGCCCTGCGCTCCCCTTTCCGCCGAACGACAGGTGGCGCATTTGCCCGCCCCGTCCAGATGTCGACCAATAGTTCGACACGTACCGCGTGAAAAAAAACTGGTGGGACTCTGGGCCTGCGCCCCTGGCGCAATCAATTTGGCTGACCTTTCCTGGCGCCCTTGCTCGCGCTAGCTCTGCTCTGTGCAGGGCGAAATTTGGCGTGCGGTTGGACTGCCGCCCAGTCTGGTGAGCTTTGGAACTGTGCCCAAATTGCACAATCCGCGCCTGGCCGAACATTCCTCAAACTGTCTGCATCAAATGTCACGCGCAAGATGGTTTGACCCCCAGCTTTGATGGTGCCGTTGTCCGAAAAACTTTGAGATCGCGTTTCTTGGACTCTTAATGTGTCAGCACGCGTCGTAAGCCGAGCAGTAGCGCGGAGACGACACGTGCCTCCATCGTGGCATCGAAACTGCACCATACTCTGTTGTTGCCGGCCGTTGGTTGGAGCGAACTGGCAATTGCCACTTTTGGAAATACGTTTGGGGAAACTGCGCCATGTCCAGAGTGTCCAACGGTAGGAACACAATGCCCTTGAACTCATCGTCGAGTAATTATTGTTTCTTGCAGGTGGTTGCGACGAGGCGCGTCTGTCAATGCTTGCTGGGTCCAGCTTTCAGCACCAGCAAGAGAGAGTGGCGGAAGTCTTCCCAAGACGAATGCATGTGCGCCCCTCGCCTGCGAAGTCAATATTGATGACCTTTGTGTTGTAGTCTGCGCGTGGACGTGCGCTGTCTTGAATTATGCAATATACCTGCGCAGGTCGAACTTCAAGCTAGCCATTACAGCTCGAACTGCTGCCTAGCAGGCTTCCGTCCATGGATGCACGGATGTAGAAATATTCAACATTTCCCCCGATAGTCGTTTGGAAGTCACGAACAACAGATCTGATAGTCTCCTGGAATGCATGATCTCGCGCCCGAAGGTCCGGACCATCCGCATGGTAGGTGCGATATGCGTCTTGAATATATTATGCATGGTCTTGACCGTTACCCGGCCATCTTTTTCCAGATCACCGTCGCTCTCGCAATCGACGCTGAGCGCGCCTGCCCCTAGGGAAAAAAGGCCCCATGGGGGATCGGACTCGCGGGTTTGAACACCACCTGCATGTGTTTGTACCGCTTCATGGTCCACAGATGCTGTCGGACTTACTAGTCGTGCGTGTTTGACTGCGTTCCTCCATGGTGGAATGGCCGCAACTCCGGGTCGCTAAAATCGTTTGCTCCTGCTCCAGCCAGTCGTTCCCTGGACAGCTGCCGCGCAAGGGTACCTCGGGAGCGCCCGTCGCCACCTGCACCCGAAAGACCATGGAGGCCCACCGAGGTGGTGCACGAGTAGGATGAACCGTGTGGAATGTAGGGTAGGAGGTAGGTAACACGGACAAATGAAGACACAGTACCTGCAAAGTTCCAACTTGAAATTTGCGGCCGAAGTACTACCGAAATACTTGCGCCGAAGTACTTGAACCGAAGTCGCCCTGGTGCAAAACAGTGCGACGCCAGGACCTCAAGGTTGGTTGACGTCAAGGACTCTGGACTATTGCCGAATAACCCGCTTATCACGCTCAATTTGTTTGACGGTCCCGGAGTCCGGCGAGGACCCCCAGGGCCAACAAAATAGCAACCAACATCTCGCAAAGAATTTGCGAGGGGGTCTGAGGAGATGCCTTTGTAAGGAAACAGCTCATGGAAGCTTCCGGCCTCCCCTATGGCGCCCAATAGCGCGCAAAGCTGACATAGTGCATCTCCATTTCAAGTTTTGGGCGCCGTGTGTTCGCTGGCTGTCTCTTTTGGGCGCTATTCAGCGCCATTTGGCGCTATTGAAAGTGCTATGCACCGATGCGTATTGTCCCCCAGTCGAGCGGAAGTTCCAATGATTCACGATCAAAGTAGCACCAATCCTTCGTTGATGATCAAAAATGCTGGGTGCGTTTGTTTTGTCACTGCTTCGAAATCTCGTCTTTCAGCTTACCAAAACGCACATGTGTTGTCACTGTTTTGAATGTCTCGCCTTTCAACTCACCAAAACAAGCATAACAGTAACAATCGCAACCTACCACATACAAAAACGGCAACACAAAAAGGAATGAGAGTCCCCAAACGAGGGGGGGAGCGGACCCAAAACGGAAAGAAGAAACGTTGATCTTGAAAACGGATAAGCCCGCCCTCAACGGTTTTGGCATCAATCCCTTCTCCTCCCAGCTACATGGCGGTATTGGGCGCTGTTTGAACGCGCGTGGCGCTGTTGGACACTGTAGGGTGCTATTGAGGGCGCTATATGCGCGTGCGCCTGAAAACGAGCGGAAGTTTCTGTCTGCACGCGTTCTTAATGACTGTTAGAAACGCTTGGGGATTTTTCACCTGTTTCAACTTGTCGGTTAAAGGTCAACCCAAACGGAAAGCAATGGAAACATCGAGCGTACAGAACTGCATCACAAAACGGAACCGAAACGAAGCCAGAGGGAATGATAATCCCAACGCGGAAAAAACCTGACCCCAACACGGAAACAGAAATGTTGATCTTGAGAGCGGAGAACATGTCTCCAGCGTGTTTTCCATTAGTCCCCTTCTCATCCCCGCTCCGTGGCGGCACTGGGCGCTGTTTGAGCGTCACATGAGTGTGGGATGTTTGGCTATATTGAGGGCGCATGCTGAGTAGCTGGGGTCGGAGGATCGCGCCGCATCGCCGATGCATCGCCGATGCATCGCCGATGCCTCGGCGACGCACCGGCGACTTCGGCGATGCATCGGCTCTGTCGGCGTGGAGAACAATCACGACGCCGATGCATCGGCGAAGGATTCTCTGTCCGGACTCCATCTAGGAGGCCGAGTCCATGTTCAATGGAAAAACAATCCACTCAAAGAACATCCCCAGACAACCCCCCAGACAACCCTGACAACCCATGCTGATGAATGACGACAAGACGGCCTGAACAGACCAACCCCTTGGACAACCAAACCAGCGGGGATCTGGACAACCCCACTGGACAACCCCCCCTCCGACAAGCCCCCCCATCTGTCTCCCATAGGATATGCTAGACCTTTCCCTCCCGCAGCTCCGAGCGCGAGCTTTCCCCGCCACCACAGCAGGCCTGGCGCAGCCCCGCGGCCCAGCCCCGCGTGCTCGCCGCGCACCACAGCACCGCGGGCCGCCGGGGCGCGCCGCAGCAGCCGCGCGTGCGCGCGCACGGCGCTTGGGCCTCCTCCTGCCCGCGATCGGGGAAGTAGGATGAATGTTTGTCCTTCGATTCTGGCAAGCTGTAGGCGCGATCTTTGTGCCCCCCCCACAAACAAGCTGGTCTGGCACAAGATCGCGGAGCAGGGGTTGTGCACAAACTTGGCACCCCCTGGGGGCACGATTTCTGCACACCACCCCGACGAACAAGCTGATCCGGCACAAGTCAGTTCTCCCTCGAAATATCGACTTCATGGCATTCCCCCCCCACCCTTGCGCCTTTCCAGACAGCGCAGCGCTGGGCCGAAAAGACGTGCAAGTGTGTCAGGATTTGCGCGGAGGAGGAGGAGGAGGAGGAAGAGAAGGAGGAGGAGGAGGAGGAAAAGGAGGAGGAAGAGGAGGAGGAATCCAGAAGACTCGGGCCTCGCCGCGTCCCCCCCCCCCTCCCCCCCATGCAAATATAAACTTGCCAGAGTCTGAAGAAATACCGCCCCTGGAAACCAAGACATGCTCGCGCGCCCTTGCAAAAATCGGGACGGAGGCTGCTCGTCGTTTTCCGCACCTGTGGGGCCCTCGCTGGGCCCTGGGACCGCCAAGAGGCGGCTCAGGCCGAAAAGCCGGAAATGGGGAAAGGGTCGAGACTTCCGGGAACCCCGCACAGAAAAATCAGGACACCGCGTGTCCCGGAAGGCTTCGGGTGGCGAACAGATAGCCCGCCCAGGTAGTTCCAGCTGGCCTCAGCTGGCCCCCCGAGTAGTCCCAGCTGGCCCCCCGAGTAGTCCTGGGCGGTATCAACACCTCAACCCTGGGGCACGAAGCACCCCAAGAGCAAGCGGCGCCATGGTGTTGAGACCGCCCCGGATACTCGGGGGGGGGGCTGTTGAGGCTAGCTGGGACTATTCGGGCGGGGGCCTTGAGGCCAGGTGGGACTACGTAGGGTGACTGTCTGCGCGCAAACCGCAGCCTTACAATTTCGGGGGGCCCTGATCGTTGGATACTGGACTTTTCTGGTCTCGGCCAACGAGATCGGTCGCTATAATTTGGACTCGGCTTTCAATTCCGGATCGATCGCGACCGCTCTGCTCGAAACTCGGTCGCGACCGAGCGGTCGCGACCGACTTGGAGTGCCGACCAGTCGCTACCGATCGCGACCGGGTAACATCCAAGAGCTGGGCAGGGAAGGGGGGGGGCGGCGACCAGGGCGGCGGGAGGAGGGCCGGAGGCCCAGATCTCCGGCGGTCTGACTTGCTCAGTGCGGACGCTGCCCCTTGACTTCGGCCTCTCGGGCCCGTCGGTGGGCCCCAGGGCCATCAGGAGTGGACCCGATTCTTCTGCCGAGTTCGGCGAGTTTACAGGCAACGCTGATTGTAAAGATGGGCGATGTCGACGAAAGCCCCTTGGACGCCCATGTTGGCGCTTTTCCGAAAGCGGCGGGCCATCGAAAGAAGTCAAGGATGGACCAAGGAGGCACAGATGCAAGGGTACGTTTGGGAAGGTGACCCGTCCTTGCCATCGGTTTCGACTGTACTTGCATGGAGTGGGCGGGCACGAAGAGGCCCGAAAGGAAATATGCATGCACCGCACGCGGGTCAGGACTCGCCTGCACGCCCTGTCGGCCCAACGCTGCTTCAACAGGCGGCGGGGGGGAGGGAATGCTATGCAAGCAAGCTTGCCCGAGCCTAAAGAGAACCAACCTCCAGCCAAGCCGAACAGCGACCCCCGAGGGACGGGACGAGAGGTCGCAACCCGTCACGTCGGGAATTCTGCTGCTGCTGCTGCTTTCGGTCTCCGTGGGGTCACTCGATGGGTACTCGGGACGAACAGCCGGTCGCGGGAACGCGTCGAGAACTCCCGGGACCCACGCTGCAACACAATCAACAACAAAAAACGCATGGCTTCGGGGGTTCCGGGAGGCAGCGCGGGGCGGTGGGCGGGAGAGAGAGGGAGGGGAACGAGTGAAGGGGCCCTGGGACACACAAATAAATTCACAAATAAAAGGGTTCTCCATATTTTCCCATATTCTCTGGGTTTCAATCTTCCCCCCCACTGCCCATATTTTCCCATATTCTCTGGGGAATCGACGATTAATTGCGTCTGTGTGATATTTTCTCGCCCTGAAGGAGGCAGGACGGAGGAGGGCGGCCGGAGGCGTGCGGGAGCGGGGAGGAGCGCCCAGGGAGCAGAGAAGGGGAGGACGACCGACGACGACGACGAGGACGGCGACAACGAGGACGACGACGACGACGACGACGACGACGACGACGACGACGACGACGACGACCCACCGACGACAACCGAAGGCGAGCACGTTCGACGAAGATGATGGCCACGCTGACAACCAGCAACGCCGACGACGGGAACCAGGACGACGAAGGCGGACGACGACGACGACGGCGACGACGACGACGACGACGACGGACGACGACGACGACCCACCGACGACGACCGAAGGCGAGCACGTTCGACGAAGATGATGGCCACGCTGACAACCAGCAACGCCGACGACGGGAACCAGGACGACGAAGGCGGACGACGACGACGACGACCCACCGACGACGACCGAAGGCGAGCACGTTCGACGACGATGATGGCCACGCTGACAACCAGCAACGCCGACGACGGGAACCAGGACGACGGCGGACGACGACGTCGACCGACGACGACTGCGGCCGACGGCGGCTGTACTCGATGATCCTCAGAGCGTGTGTTTGTTCACCGAAGCCCTTCAATCCGTCGCGGACGGTGTACCGAAGGCTGGCACAGGCTGAGAGCTATCGGTTGAGCCGAGTGGGGTACACACGCACAAGGGTAACACGCGCCCTGAGGATCGTCGATATACGCAAGAAGGCACCCACGCACCACGCCCATGCCTGGTCAGGGACGGTGGTGGTGGTGTTTCCGCCACAGTGCAGCGGGGCTCGAAGTGGAATGTCCTTATTGAAAGGGGCCCTGGGACACACAAATAAATACACACAAATCCCAGGATTCCCCAGATCTTCCTATGTTTTCTGGGTTTCCGTCTTCCCCCCCTTTTCCATATGTTGCTTATATTTTCCAGGGAGTCGACGATCCATTATGTCTGTGTTTTGTTGTCCCTTCTGACTTATGTCCCTTCGAGTTCTCGATTGCAGACCGAAGGGCCCCCATCCCCCGCGTTGCCATTCATACTGGGGCAATGCTGGGGCGCTTCGGGGCTGTGTGTCTGTTGTGTTCTGCGTCGCCGCTTTTCTCGATGCAGTGGGGACATCTTCTTCGCATCCGAAGATGACCGCAGAGGACCGTCGGGGGGTTCTCTCGGGGGCCTCTTGGGTCGTCTTCGTAGCCCTGGGCCCGTCCAGCGAGGCCCAATTCTTCTATGTATGGTTTTCGCATGCTCACCTCGTCGGTCTTGGAGGCGCCCAAATCGTCCCACGAGGCCCCCGAGAGAGCCCCAAGAGGGCCCGAGGAGGGCCCCAAAGAGGGGCCCAGGGTGTACTCCAAGGGCGTCTGGGGGCCCCTGAGAGGCCCCCAAGAGGCCCCCAAGTGGTCCCTCAGAGGCCGACCTGGAGACCTCACGATGCCTCCAAGAAGCCCCCCTCCTGTCCACGACCCCGCCAGGGCACGGCGGCAGCATCGGCCGAAGGCCGCTACTTAGGTGGCCGCCTTCTGTGGCCGCCGGCGGCGACAGGGAAGTCCGACTGCCAGCACCCTGGACCCTCGACCCCATGAGCTGTTCACAGCGTCGACCCCCCCAGAAGTCTCGACCCATTCCCCCAGAAGGGCGTTCCGTCACGGCTTTTGCTTGACAGCCCCGAGGCCTGGCGGGTCCACCAGGGGCCGAAAACAGCAACAACGACATCATGGCGTGACCTTTTCACGACGCGATGATATCAGGGTCCAAATGTCAAACATCTATCCCCAAACCTGTTCTGGGGAATCGCCTGGTCAGAACCGTCATCTGGATCCAGCCGTGGCGACGAGGAAAACAACGGGGAAAGAGTTCCAGGTTCGATACTCGAACCTCCAGCCTTCGAACCTCGACGCGACGCGAGGTCCACTTAGAACACCGCTGGGGTTGCTCGGGGGATACGGGGCTCCAAGTGGATGCCATGGTGGGTCATATCTGATCTCACCTAGCTTACACGTTAGAACACCGCTGGGGTTGTTCAGGGGATACGGGGCTCCAAGTGGATGCCATGGTGGGTCATAGCTGATCTCACCTAGCTTACAAGTGGGCTGCATGTGCCCTGGGCGGCTTACGAGGGGCAAATATCTGGGCTAAGGCGGAGTCCACCAGCACAGTTACCCAACCCATTCAAGCCACTTACAGGGCCAAATGTAATCCACATGCGCATATGGAGGCCTCCCAGATGGGGTCGGAGTAGAGTGGGGGGGGGGGTCGGAGAATCGCATCGCATCGGCGACGTCGGCGGTGCACCGGCGACGTCAGCGTGGAGAAAATAGGGCTCCATATCGAGCCGCATCGGCGATGCCCCTTTCCGTTGATCCCTCCCCCATCGGGGGGGGGGCCCTGGGGGCGCAGGAAGGGGTGTAGGGGGGAGGGGTCCCGGGGGGGGGTCCCCTGGGATAGGGGGGGGGTCACACGCGCATCACCCCCTGGGTGCCCCGTGGCCTCCGAAAGACCAAACGGAACGTAGCGGAACGGACACGGGACGGAACGCCTCTGCGGGCAAGCGCCCAGGCCCCCCAAGAGGCCAGGCGGGCGAGGCCATGGCCTCGTAGGGGAGACTGCGCGCGCCGGGCGCCGACTCACAGGGGGATGCGGACCTCACCAACTTGTTTGCCAGATGCTCCCACTCCTCTGCCGTGGCCTCCGAGAGAACCAAGACAGGCTGAGACGGTCCAAGAAGGGCCCCCAATCGCCAACCTGTCAGTCCAAAACTGCCCGGGAGGCCGCCAGGACGTCCCAAGAAGTCTCTCCGAGCACTCCGGAGAAGGGCCCCATGAGGCAAAATTCATTGGTCCATACTTCTTCAGGATTTGGGCTTTCTCGCCTTTTCCGCTCCCCGTCGCTCCAAGACGGCCCAAGAGGCCCCCAAGATCGCCCCAATACGGCCCGAAAGGCCATCGCACAAGGCCTCCAAGACAGCCCAAGAGGCCCTCAAGACGGCTCCAAGAGCGCGCCCAGACGAGGGACCCGAAGGGATATTTCGAGCCCTCAGCCCCGAGAGGCTCCCAGAAGGCCCCAACAGGTTCCCAAGAGGCCCGCAGAGGCCCACAAGAAGTCCCCAGGAAGTCCGAAGAGGCCCCAAGAGGCTCCGAAGAGGCCCCCAAGAGGCTCCCAAGAGGCTCCAGAATTCCTCCCCAGAGGCCCCCGAGAGCCTTCCGAAGAGACCCCAAGAAGCATCCATCTGGCCCACGTCAGCGTCGTCATCACCGCCGCCGCCGCCGTTGGCGTCGTCGTTCCCCTTTAGGCTCGGCGGCACGGGCCGCACGGCCCTCGCAACAGGGCTCCAGCCGCATCGGCGACCTAGACCTCGGCAACCCCGGCGGTGATCGAAGCAGGACGCGCGTGCGCGCGCGGGTGTCCTGCGCAGCGGCCGCCGCGACGCCCGGCGAAGCTGCCGGGGGCGACGCGCTGCGGAGCACGGCCCAGCGAGGCAAGGGGGGCCCGGCGTGCGCGCTCCTCCTCTCCGCGGGGGGGGGACAGGCGTGCGCCACCAGAGGCCTTCCGGATGGGGTCCGACTGGATGGGGTCCCAGGCACGCTCGCGTCGCGTACCAAAAAGACGTTACAGGGAGGTCCTTGGTCGTTTTTCTGACTCCCGGGGGCCCTCGCAGCAGGCTCGGGAAGAAGAACAGGCCCTGGGGATGGGGTCGGGACTTCTGGGGCCAGGGAACGGGTCAGAGGATCGCGCCGCATCTCACAACTAGGGGAAAAACAAACCTACCTCGCTTTTGACCACCCTCGCTTCCAAGAGATATCAAGCGATGCCAAAAAACGGCCTGTACTGGTCAGGCCGCTTGACGAGGAGGCGCGTGGTATGACTTGGTTTTGCCTGGAAGCGAAAGCGGGGTAGGTAATTCACGCTCCGAACAACGGCGCGCGCATCCAGATCCACGCCCTCGCGGTCAGGCATTCCGGGCCGCGACCCCGCGGACACGCAGTCGCACGGGTATACGCTCCGCGCGCGGCACCCGCGAGAGAACGGCTGTGTCCGCGGGGTCGCGGCCCTCCTCCTCCTCCTCCTCCTCCTCCTCCCTCCTCCTCCTCCTCCTCCTCCTCCTCCTCCTCCTCCTCCTCCTCCTCCTCCTCCTCCTCCTCCTCCTCCTCCTCCTCCTCCTCCTCCTCCTACTCCTCCTCCTCCCTCTCCTCCGGACACGGACATGTGTTCCGCCCAGGGGCCTCGCCGATGCAGTGGCGACGCAGGCGAGGCATCGGCGACCGTCGGCGCGGAGAAGGTGGGGCTCCACGCCGAGACGCATCGGCGATGCCCCGGCGATGCGGCGCCATGCTCACACCCCACCGGCCCTGACCCAGAAGCTGGGAGGCCCAGAGCCAGCCGCCGCGCCGTGGCCAGGGTTACGTCGGGCGTTTTCTCCTTGAACGAACGAACGAAAAGTCATACGCCCTAGGCGCGTGGACTCGTGCAAACTAGCTACTCATGCAGAAATTGACCCCTCTCACGCAGAAGTACGTCAGGAAGATTGGTCGCCCCAGGAACGAATGGTCAGCTCAGATTGGTAAGGTCGCTGCGCAGTTGAACGTCGATGTGAATGATGCAGAAGCATGGAAGTCTAGAGTCGTCAATTTCTGCATGAGTAGCGTTTCCTCCTACAGGCGGATTTTGGACGAGAAATGAAACATACACCAAAAGGCTCCAACATAATCCAAAAGTCGTCCCGACCATTTCTGAATATTCCTCCTGTAGAGGGGCAGGGCAGGCCCGACGTAAGGCCAGGGACGTCGCCAGAGCCCTGGCACGGGTGCGCAGGGCCCTCCTCGGACCCCTCGCGCCGTGCACAGAACGCACGGCGCGAGGCCTCTGCTGCGACGGTGCGACCTCGGGGGCCCGAGCATTAAGTCGGGCCTGCCCCCCTACAAGGTGATCTTCGAGGAAAAATGAAACATACCAGAAAAATGCACCAAAAAGGTTAACAAATATTCTAAACATAGTCCCTAGACTATTTTTTTGGTTTTGGAAAACAATTTTGGGGGTATTGTTCTATTTCTCGTCGAAAATCCCCCTGTAGGGGGACAGGCCCGACTTCACCCGAGCAGGGTGGGCCCAGACGTGCTCGCCTCGCAGACCAGCAGCCGCCCAGCAGGAGGTCTTTGCTGGCCGTGCTCGGCCTCCGGGGGCCCTCTCGCTGGGCCCCGGGGCCGCCAGACAACGGCACCCAGCACGAAACGCCAGCCTTACGTCGGGCCTGCCCCCCTACAAGGGGATTGCCGACGAGAAATAAACAATACCGCAACCAAAATCAAAAAAAATACTCAACATATAATTAGGGGACTATGTTTGTTGAGTATGCTTGGACCTTTTCGGGGTATCTTTTAAGGGCACTTTCATTATTCGTCGAAGATCCCCCTGTAGGGGGACAGGCCCGACTTAACGCTGGGCCCCAGAGTCGCCAGACAACGGCGTCCAGCGTGAGACGCCGGCCCCAGGGAGTGGGGCACCCAGGCAGGTCCCGGGCGCGCCGAGCAGGCCAGTTTTAATTTACCAGCCTCGAACTTATCCCTATCCCTAAGATTGACACGCCAAAAAGCGATGACAATCTTAGGGATGCGCCCTCAAAAAATAAGGGAATCCCTAAGATTGGCATCGTGATGAGGAGATGCCCAGCATAGGGATAGGGATATGTTCCAGGCTGGTAATTGATCCATTCGTTGTCGGTCAGCTCGGCACCTGGGGCGCGCGTGCACACACCAAGACGTCGGGGGTCCAGGTCCCGAGGTTAAGAATGCCTCTCAACGCCATCCTGCGCGGGGGCTCGAGCCGGCCCTGGCTGGGCATGGTGGTGCACAGTTGCCCTCCGCGGCTCCTCTCGGCCCGCATCATCGCGAGAGCTGCGGGGATTTGCCGAGTGCTGCCCTCGACCCGCCGAAGACAAAGCCAGAACAATAATACAATCGGGTGAAGGAGGGTAATCGAGAATCTCTGGGACCCGGCAGATTGGAAGACGTCTCGGGCGCCACGGCCTTCTCAGAGCGATCTGGAACGCTCTGAGAGCGTTCTGGAACACTCTGGAACGGATGTATCCTCGTCCTGGCCCCGTCCGACCACCCCACTCCTCCCGAAGGTGTCGGAGGTCCGTGCCGGTTCGTGCTTCGGGCCCGGGAGTTTTGTCTATCGGCTGCACCTCGTCCAGAATCTTTCCGGGAGCCCACAACCGTCCCCGAACAGCCACCTGGGGGTCCGAGTCATGGCCCGAACTCCAGCCAGAGGACCACTCGATGGTCGAGGGAGGTGGGATGCTTCGGGGCGGTTTCGAAAAGGTTCGAACACATTATTTTGTGTTGTACGCATTTGCAAGACTCTGGTGAGGGCACAAAAAGATACCGATGCTGCTACAACATTCACCTTTTCCAGGGTGCGTTATATGGCCAAGATTTCGAAGCGAATTCAACCGTTGCGACGAATGACGGGTAGCGCTATCGACATATGTTCCTCCTTTGATCCGGGAATCTGGCCTCCGACGCCTTCATGGAACTGGGATCCGGGGCGAATGCAGAACTTATCACGGAGAAGAAACGCCCTTGCGGGGACGGCGAACACCAGCGAGATCGTGCCACGGCCGCATCTTGCCAGAGGGGCCCTCGAGCCAAAAAGAGCTCAAGGCAGCGAGGGGAGGGGGTGATAGAGGGGCCCGAACGCTGCGGACAACGGGCCCCCCTCCACTTCGTCGCCCTCCCTCATGATCATTCTCCTACTTCTTCTGGTGGCTCTCGCTTCTGGCCCCTCCCCATGGAGGCCTTCACCGGGCCCCAGCTCCGTCAACAAACGACTCAGAACGCCGGTCCTGGGGAATGGGTCGAGACCTCTGGGGGTCGACGCGGTGACACATGCACGACGTCGGGGGTCTGGGCGTGGCGTTTTTCCATCCCGACTTCTGCTTTCTCGGGAATCGGCCCCCACGCCCACGCCGAATAGGAGGGGCAACGAGCGGGGGACAGGCCAAGGGGGAGTAAACATCGACCCAGAATCGGCGATACATCTCCGAGAGGTCGGCGGTATGCCCCCGATGGCGAAGCAGAACGCTTCTGGGCGGGGTGGGGCCCTGAGACCCCCACCGCCTACCGGCGATCGATGGGCGATTTGGGGCCGATGCCTTCACCCCTGCTTTGAGCAGGGGCCGACCGTCCTGGCATCCCTATAGTCCTACACACGAAAGAATGCTCCTAGAGCCCCAAACTGTTCTGAGAACCAAAACAATGTTCTCAGAACATGAACCCGATGTGATAAAACAGGACAGTCCCAGCCAGAAATATTCTAAGAACATTTCGTGGGAACCACACAAGGTTCTTGGAAGAGTGTTTGGTAGGGCTACAGGCACGCCGGGAAGCGTCGCCACTGCTTCACTGATGCTATCCCCTGAGAGTCAGAGGAAACAAACCACTCCTCGGCGACGTGGGCCAGACCGACGACAGGTGGCTGCATCGGCGGAGGACGACGCGGCGGCGACAAGTGCACGCGGCGCACCGGTCACGCCAGGCGACCGACGACTGGCGACCCGCGGCCGACATCGGGCGGGCGGCCGATGACCGTCTGCCGTCGGCGGCGACCGGCTGACGGCCACCGACCGCGGCAGCGGCCGATCGACGCAGGCGCCGCGGCCCGTCGCCGCCGCGGCGAGCGGCGGCGGGCGGCCAGTCGGTCGGCTGGCCGGTCGGCGAGCGGCGGAGCCGACCGCGGCGGCGGGCGGCCGATCGGTCGGTCCGCCGGCAGATGGGGCGGCGAGCGGCGAAACCCCGCTGGCGACCTGCGCCGAGCAGCTCGGCGGCGTGAACCACTCGGGGGAAGCGCCGCACGACAGGAGCTCCGGCGCCGCGCTGGTGCCTCGGGCAGAGCGCGCGTTCGCGCGCGCTCGCGCGGGCGCCGAGAAGCCCCCCCCCAACCACCCAAAAGCCTCTTTCCCCGAGCATCGCCGAGCATCGAGGATATCGACGAGAGACCCACAAATATCCAGAACCGTGATCCTCGAACCTGCTCGAAGCTTCCAGCCCCTCAAGCAAGGTGAAACTGCCGGGTGTTGCAACATTGCGACGCAGTGAACTCAGAGTCGGTTGACGGCGACAAAAATGACGATGACGACGACCAACTTCGACGACGACTTATTGGATGGATCTCTCAAGATCTCCGCAGCCTCAGGCGGTGTATATCCTGCGCAGGAACGCAACAATCAAAATGGAAACCACGACGACGATGAAGACGACGACCGCGACGACTCGTACCTCGACGACGACGACGACTCGAACCTCGACGACTCGAACCTCGACGAACCTCGACGAACCTGGACGACGACGACGAATCTCGACGACGACGACATGACGGCGACGACGACGGCGACGGCGACGACGACGTCGACGAGCGGCAGCGGCTCGGCAGCGGGGCAGCGCCTGCGTGCCAGAGCCCGCCCCCGCCCGTGATCAGCACGCCGCCCCCAGCGGGGATGACCACGCCGATGGGGTCGTCGAAGCCTGGCCCGTCGAGCTCCCCGCCTCGGTAGAGGCCGAAACAATGGAGGCTTCCAACATGGTGTAGGGTTCCGATATCGGGCGTTATGGGGCGCAGTTTGGCGCTATTCAGCGCTGTTGGGCGCAATTCGCCGATAGATCGTCGACCCTAGACAAGCGGAAACTCCTCCGATTTACTATCTGAACTGTTTCCCAATAACCCGCAACGGGCGATAATAAAGGTGCCCCCCCATTCTTAACCCCCTCTATTTATTATCCCCGCCCACAGGGATTTATCTGTGGGGAAGGCGCGGAGGCCGAACTTGATAATCCACGGAAAAGTTGCGGGGATCGAAGTTGCTATCATATCTTGTTGATTAGCAACAGCAAGTCCAGCGCAAGAGGGGTTTCTTGGCCAGATCGGCCAAGGACCTCTCTTGCGCTGGCAAAATCTAGGCGCCCAGCCACGAGCCTCGAGATCGCTCGAGTCAGCCTTGTGTCCTGCGCCTCTGCGGGCAAGTAGCCACGAGCCTCGAGATCTCTCGAGTAATCTCTGTGTAGTGCGCCTCTGCGGGCAAGTAGCCACGAGACAAGAGATCGCTCGAGTCAGGCTTCTGTCGTGCGCCTGGTTTAACCTCCTCCTCCTCCTCCTCCTCCATCATCATCATCATCATCATCATCATCATCATCATCATCATCATCATCATCATCATCATCGTCGTCGTCATCGTCGTCATCATCATCATCATCATCCTCATCATCCTCATCCTCATCCTCATCCTCATCCTCATCCTCATCCTCATCCTCATCCTCATCCTCATCATCATCATCATCATCATCATCATCATCATCATCATCACCACCACCACCACCACCACCACCACCACCACCACCACCACCACCACCATCACATCATCATCATCATCATCATCATCATCATCATCATCATCATCATCATAATCATCATCTTCATCATCATCATCATCATCATCACAATAATCATCATCATCATCATCATCATCATCATCATCATCATCATCATCATCATCTTATTCATCATCATCATCATCATGATCATCATCATCATCATCATCATCATCATCACCACCACCACCACCACCACCATCATCATCATCATCATCATCATCATCATCATCATCATCATCATCATCATAACTTACCTTCCCCGGGGAAATCCTTTATTGTCCCCGCGGGAACTGCGAACATTATTATCCCAGGGGGTTTATTATCGCCCCTTTAGGGTTAGTTTCTCACGTGCGGCGATTCCGCTCTGCCTCAGGCCCCGAAGCTCTCGCGGATAGATCCGAATCGCAAGTGCAGCAGAAAGGCGTGGGGTTCCGGTCGTGATTTTCACGGTGTTACTATTTTTCGCGACGTCGAATCGCGGGGTCGGTCGCGACGGCCTGCTGGGGCTTCGGCCTCCGGCACCCGTTGTCGGGCACTCCAGGGCAACGAGAGGCCTCCCAGCTGGGGTCGTTGCAGATGGGGTCGGAGCCTCGCGCCGCGTCGCCAATGCACCGCCAATGCATCGGCTATGCATCGGCGTCGTCGGCGCGGACAACATCGGGCCGCATCGTCAATGCATCGGCGATGCAGCGCGATCCTCCGACCCCATCTACGCGGACCCCGTCTGGGAGGCGTGCACAAAAACGGCATAGAAAAACACATTCGGAGCTCCGCGCGGATTTCTTGGATCCGCGCTGGGGTCCCCTGGCGGCGCCTACGGCGCCGCCCCTGGCGAGCTCCGCGCGCCAGGGAGGGGGGCCCGTCGCAGATCCAAGAAACCCACGCGATTCGCCAAACGTCTGTTCATGCACCTTTTCTGATTCGCCTGGGGGGCCTGGTCCCAGGCCCCCCTCGCGTCGAGAAGGCACACGACTGGCTCTTGTTTCGATGCTATTTCGGCCTCCAGGGGCCCTCGCCAGGCCCCAGGGGCCACTGAAATAGGGGGAAAACAAGCATACCTCGCTTTTGACCACCCTCGCTTCCAAGAGATACCAAGCGATGCCAAACTACGGCCTGTACTGGTTAGGCCGCTTGACGAGGAGGCGCGTGGTATGACTTGGTTTTGCCTGGAAGCGGAAGCGGGGTAGGTAATTCACGCTCTGATGAAAAGCGACTCGAACCGGTCCCGGGAAAGGGGTCGAGACCTCATGGGGGTCCAGGTTTGTGGAGAAACGATAGCGTCGAGGGCGGGGACCTCCCCCCTCCTTGTCCTCGCGCCCCAGCGGGCGACCGCGGACGACGGACGAATGCAGACGACGGACGACAAACGGCAGACAACGACTGACGGAGGACGACGGGCGACGGACGACGGACGACGGGCGACGGACGACGGACGACGGACGACGGACGACGGACGACGGCGGCGACGACGACGACGACGAAGACGACGGACGACGGCGGACGGCGGCGGACGACGGACGACGGCGGCGGTGGCGGCCCCGCGGCCGAGCGGTGCCCAGGGCCGCCTCCGCCAGCAACCAACTCGCCCTTGGAGCTTCCCGGGAGCCACCTCCGGCGAGCCGCCGTCGCCGCCGCTGCCGTCGCCGCCGTCGCCGCCACCGCCGCCGTCATCGCCACCGCCGTCGCCGGCGGCGTCGACCGAGGCCTGAGGAGGTTCGAGGGTCGAGGCCTTTTGAAAGTTCTGGCCTTCATGGCCAGGCTGGTTGTCGGAGTCGTCGTCTTTCGGCGGCCTTGGAAGGCCCGTGTCGCGCCATCGGAGGCCTCGGACCGCTCTGGAGGCAGCCAGAGGTCTTGGAGACCTCGCGGGGCCGCCAGGCTCCTGCACGCGCGCCGGGGACAACGGCTGCCCTCGTCGTTCGGCAGCTCTCGAAGGCCTTCGGAGGCCTCGGAAGCCTCTGGCGAGTCTTGGATGGCAACTCACGGGAGCCTACCACACCATCCTGTTGGCCTTTGCGCATCAACGCTAATCGACGCTAGTCGACGCTACAACCCCCCCTAACGTAGCCAATGCCTACCCTAACATGACCCAGGCCCTGTCGGCACTGCGACACAGCTTCTATGACCCATGAAAGTCAACGTGGCCAACGGCTCGGCGACACCAGTGTCACGAGCGCGCGCTGTAGCAAATGATGCTCCATAATGGGGCGACACAGCAATATGCAATGCACACGTGCCAGCAGTGTTACAAATATCTTTGTATTTGCAATGGAGAATCTGGCCGGCGCTGAAGCGAGAGCAACTTTTGCAATCATGGATGGCCAGAGGTGTGGCTGGAGCAACATTCTCAATCATGGATGTGGCCAGCACTAATTAGGGCGAGAGCAACTTTCGCAATGGTGGATGTGGCAAGCGCTAAAGCGAGAGCCACTTTCGTAATCGTGGGTGAGTCCGCGCTGACGCGACAGCATCATTTGCAATCATGGATGTGGCCGGCGCTAAGGCGAAAGTAACTTCGCAATCGAGGGTGTGGCCGGCGCTGAGGCGAGAGCAAAATTCGCAATCGTGGATGTTGCCGGCGCCAAGGCGACAGGAACACTCGCAATCATGGATGTGGCCAACATTAAGGCCAGAGCAACGTTCGCAATTCTGGATATGGCTGGCGCTGAGACGACAGCAGCCGTCGTAGTCGTGGATGTGGCTGGCGCTGAGGCGAGAGTGACTTTCGAAATAACGGATGTGGCCGGCATTGAAGTGAGAGCATCATTCGCAATCATTGACGTGGCCGCTGAAGATGCAAAAACAAAATTCGAAATCATCGATGTGGCCTGCGCTGCGGCGAAAACAACATTCCCAACCATGGATACGGCACCACAAAATCGGTATAGTGGATGTGGCCACTGGTGAGGCGAGCGCATCCGTCGTAATCGTAGATGAGGTGTCTCACTGAACACGAGCACTGGCTCTAGCGCAACCCGCAGCACCACTCAGACGAGCAGCGCCAGAAACAGCAGCGCCATGCGCAGCAGCAACAACAACAATGCCAACAACAGCAGAAATAGTGCAAGCCACACAAGCGACTCGAGCAGTACCTCTCTGACGAACACGACATCAAACAACACCACCACCACCACGCGCACTAGCATCAGCGACACTAGCAGCACCAGTATAGCCACCACTCCGGAGAATGGAGCAGCAGCACCAAGCGACACAGCACAAGCTCCCCCAGCAGCCAGCAATATTGTGACCACAACGATAGCAAACAGCAACACCAAACGCAGCAGCACCAGCGGCGCCAGCAGCGCAACTGTGACGAGTACGACTGGGAGCAACAACGCCACACGAAGCAACTCAAACGCAACTAACAGTACCAGTGTGACCAGCACGACGAGAAGCAGCAGCACTACACGCACCAGCACACGCACAAGGAGCAGCACCGCCGTGACGCGCACGACAGGATCCAGCAGTACGACACGCGCCAGGACGAGCACCACCAACAGCACCACTGTAATCAGCACAACGAAAAGCACCAATACCACGCGCAGCAACACAAACGCCACCAGCAGTTCCGCTAGAACGAGGGCGACAGGAATTAGCAGCGCCAGGCGATTCGCGCTGGACTGCGCGAGCGCCCCCACCCCCCCCGCAGGCCAAACCAGCGGGGCGGGAGGCGTTCGCCCCAGCGCAAAGCGTCATGGCCCATATCCTTCAATCTTGCGCTGGGGACCGGGGCGCCCCAGAGCAGAACTGCCCCAGTCCGTCCGCGCGAAGTTTTGCGAACTCCACCACGGGAGCAACTGCTGCTCGCCCCAAGCCCGAACGGCGGTCGCTTCCAGGGAAAAGGTTGCGCCAGCCGGGGCCCACAGTAGCAGCGCTAACCGGGAGCGCCACGGCGAGCGCGAGGACGGGGTTATGGCTCGTCTTGGGCCTGCCGCCGCCCAGCCCGGACAGCAGCTCCAACGCCTAGCACCGGCGCCCTGTGCAGCCAGCAGCATCACACGCGCAAGCAGCACCAACGCCACCTGCAGCTCCACCAGAACGAGCACGACGGGAAGCTGGAATGCCCGAGCGCCCCCAACCCCCCCGCCGGCGAAGTCAGCGGAAGGGAATTGCTCCCGTGCTCCCGTGCTCCAGCGCAAATCGTCACGGGCCAAATCGTTCGATTTTGCGATGGGCGCCGAGGGCGCCCCAGGGCACAGCCCACAAAGTGTCCCACGGGAGCCGGCTGCTCGCCCCTCGCACCGCAGTACACGTGATCTGGCGGAGATGCGCACGACGACCCGCGACGCGTCGGTCAGCAACACGAGCGAAACGAGCAGCTCCACTGTGACCAGCCCGACAGGAAGCAGCATCGCCAGCAGCAGCAGCAGCAGCAGCAGCAGCAGCAGCAGCAGTACAAGCGCCACCAGCAGTACATCTGCGAGTAGCAAGACAAAGGCAGCAGCAAGAGTGCCACCTGCAGTGCCGCTCCACCAAGGCCTGTCGGAAGCAACAATACCACGCGCAGCACCAACGCCGCCATCAGCAGAAGCGCAAGCAACACCAGCGTCACCAGCTCGGAGCCACCAGCAGCACCACTGTGACGAGCACCGCGAGAAGCAGCAACACCACACGCAGAATCTCCATCAACCAACAACACTACCTGGACCCGCACACTGGGAACCAGTAGTACGACGCGCACCAGCTCTAGCGCCAACCAGCAGAACTACAGCGACGAGCACTACAGCAGCATCGGCGCCGCCAACAATGACAAGAGCGACACGAATCCCACACGGCACAAAGCAGCACAACCGAGCACAGCAGCACGAGCGACCCGAACAGCTCCAGCATGACGAGCGCGACGAGGAGCAGCAACAACACAGCATCAACGCCGCCAGCACCACCAGCAGCACTGCTCAGCACCAGGCGATTCTCGCTGGACTGCGCGAGCGCCCGCACCCCCCCGCCGAAAGGCCGGCGAGGGGGGAAGCAGGCCCTCGCCCCAGCGCAGGGCGTAACGGCCCGGATCGTTCGACCTTGCGCTGGACACCGAGGGGCGCCCCAGACAAAGATGAGCAGTCCGTTCGTGCGAAGCTTGGCTGGGAGGTGCGAGCCCCACCCCGGAAGCAACTGCTGATCTGCCCAAGCCAGAACGGCCTACAGTAGCAGCGCTAACCAAGAGCGCCACGGCGAGCGCGAGGACGGGGTAATGGCTCGTCGTGGGGCCTCCGTCAGCGCCGACCGCCTGCTGCGTCCCGCCCCAGCCAGCAGATCCAGCGCCCAGCACCAGCGCCCTGCCCGGCCAGCAACGGCGCCTAACCTGGCCAGCAGCGGCCCCTGGGCAGCGCCCTCCCACCATCGCCGTTCAGGGCGTCCAGCGGCCGCCGCGCTGCCGGCGTCGCCATTGCCCGCTGCAGGTGCGGGCAGCCACGCTTCAGGCGTGCAGCAGGAGAAGTGCGAGCGCAAGGAGCAAATTCCACTATGACCAGCACGACAAGAAACATCAGCACCACTCGCAGCAGCACCAGCGCCACTAGCACTGACTCTGGCAGTGGCACGAGAAAGACTAGCAGCACCACCAGTGCGACCAGCCCGACAGGAACCAGCAGCACCACCAGCAGCAGCGCGAGCGCCACCAGCAGCATTGCAATAACGCGTCTCCTGCCTCACCGACCCTGCCCGTCTCCGTGGGGCCCTCCCCTCCTGGGACACTCCGGGGCCGCCCGAGGAGCCCAGCCCAACAGGGGCCTCGCGGCGGCAAAACACTCCTGGGGGCGGCCCTCGGGGCTTGCCCTGAGCCCTCTTGGCCTTAGCTCGGGCATGTCCCCCTACAGACGGATTTTGGACGAAAAGTAACAAACATTAAAGATATTCAATATTCAACATACGCTCAGAAATACGCACAAAATCGTCCCCAGACTATAGTTCGACTATTTTTGAACATTCCTCCTGTAGAGGGACACGCCCGACTTAACCCTTGCATCCGCCACCTGCCCGATACTGTTCTGGCGATGATTTGGGGAGTATCCCTTCAAAAATAATGCAAGGCACATTGATGCGCCCCTCTCACCGCACCCTTTCGTAAAAAGCGCAACGTTGGTAGAAGGATGCGCGATTGGGATGCAAGCCCCTTGGACGCCCGTGTTGGAACACTTTCGAGCGTGGCGGGCGATCGAAAAAAGGCACGAGGGGATGGACCAACGAGGCACGGTTGCAGGGGTACCCTTCGGAAGGCGACCCATCCTCAACATCGGCTTCGACTGTCCAGTGCGGGCGCGGCCGCAAGACACCCTCGCAAGAAACCCAACCCTGAGAACCTGTGCGCGAGGTGCACCTGAGGGGAAACCTGGAGCACCCTGAACGCAGCAGCTCCTTCAACGGCTGCGGGAAGTCACATCGCAGCGCGAGGAGCGAAGAAACCCAAGATACCCTGACAAAAAACATATGGTTTCTTGATGCGCGCCCCCACTGTACCAAACATGTCATCCAACATGTGTGATCTGCTCCTTACGCGGGACCCCGGCCTCTCGAGCTCTGGCACGCCCGCGCGGACAATGGCAAATTCCGAGGCACAGTGCCCCACAGCAGAGGCCGACCAGAAGCGGCCGCGGTCGCTGTTAGGCAGGCGAACTTGTGCTTCAAATCTACAACGCCCAGGCGACACCGACAACGAATCCTGTTCAACATGGCTTAGGGCTGTTCCGGGTGTTCGTCCCCATTCTTTCCGTACGTACCTATTTTCCATCGTCCCGAAGTTCCTGTCTCCGGGGGACCAACTCGCCTTGGATGAATGCGAGTGCTTGACGGTCTCGCTAGGCTCCGACAGCCGAAGACTTTGAACAAAATGCCGCCTTGATTGCCCCGAAAAGCAAAAACACCTTGGCGCCCGCTGCCACTGCCAGCGGCCCAGTCCGCCTCTGGGCCACGAGATCTGAAGTGCCATGTCCTCCTCCCTCCAGCGGGAGGAGGAGGAGGAGGAGGAGAGAGGAGAGAGGAGAGAGGAGGAGGAGGAGGAGGAGGAGGAGGAGGAGGAGGAGGAGGAGGAGGAGGAGGAGGACGGCCAGAACGCTGCCGTTTTCAGGGGCGCCCAAGCGAGGAGCGTCCGCGGCCCGAGGCACGTGCGCCGCCCGGGCGACGGGGCCACGGGCCAAAAGGGCCATGCAAAGGCCGGCAGACACCGTGGCACCAGCCATGATACAGGGAAGGTTTTAATACATTGGATCTTTAAAGCTATCGGATTCTTAATAGCTGAATAATTTATGAACAAATGTATGCATGAACTCATCGTTGTTTTTAATGCAAACCCCTGCATTTTAATACATGATCCGCACGCGGAGCATGTATTAAAAACGGCACTGTAGTGCAGTAGCCACAAGGTACGGATACCGCTGCTCCCCGGACCTCTCCCCGGTCGCGTCCCGGCCAAAATTTCGGAGCGAATCTGGCGGAGGCGACGATGGCCTCCCAGGAGCTCCCCAACGGGGACAACCAGGGAGGGGCAGCGGTATGGGTGCATGTCCCTCCTCTGTGATACACTCCTCCACCTGGTCATCACCCCCCTCAGTGGCCGCCTCCGGCGTTTCGAGCCAGAGATGGCGCCCTTGCCGATGCCCCAGACCCTCGCGCCCCCCGCTCGCGGCCCGATGCCGGCCTCACCACGCGGTCGTTGCCGTTGTCCGCGATCACGACGCCGCCCTCGCCGTCGACCGCCAGGCCGATGGGGCGGTACAGCTGGTTCGGCTGCCCGCCTCCGTCGCGGAGGGTCTGTGGTGCGCATCGGCATTGACCGCTGGTGCAGGAGGCGCAGATCTTGGAGAAGCAATGGCAGCTGATCTGCCGACCGAAAAGATCCCGGCGCAGGAGGCCCAACTCCTCTCGGATGCGCGAGTGCGCAGGCACGGTGCGCAAGCGGGCGGTCGAAGAGCGGCGTGTGGCTGCAAGGAGGCTTGAAAGCAAACTGTGCGGAGGGGAGCAGGGGCAGACGAGGACACTACCACCAGTGGCACGAGCCAGGAAGGGCCCTGGCGGTGAGTGCTTCCTGTTCCGGTTTGGGGACGCCCAACTCCAGACGTCCACAATCTCCAGCTCGGGGCATCGTGGACCCCCTTGGGAGGTGGCCCGCTGGTGGTGGTGGTGTGGTGGTGTCGCTTCTTCTTCTTCTTCTTCTTCTTCTGCTTGTTCTTCTTCATTTTCTAAGTATTATTATTCTTCGTATGCCTCCTGTCTCCCAGACACTGGAGGCCCAGACCCCCCACCGAACGCTAATTTCGGGCCTCGGGCACCGTTAAAAACTATCCTGGACAACGGTCCCCTGGACGGAGTCGAGAGCTGAAGGGCAGCGCATTGACCACACAAGGCGACAGAGGTCTGGGGAGGAGAGCCTCCCAGACACCAACCCCTGCCGGGGGGAATTCTCGGGTGCTGAAGATCCCCGCCCTTCAATGGATAGCGAAACGCGTTCGTTCGCACTTCTCGACCCTTCACGAGGTCGGTCTTTCGTCCTGGATTGTGTTATGATGGCCTGGGGAAGGGCCCTCGGAAGCCTCAACAAACGAAACACGCCCGCATTCAATAAAACAATCCGCCTGAAGGTCTGTGGGTGCATGCTCAACGCGCGGAGTCCAAGCGGATCCACCTCGGGCCGAGCCTCGAACCTCCTACCCCAAGTTTGGAGGTTGCCAAGCGCGACCCTGGTCAAGCTATTCCCAGCTTTCCGCGCCATCTTGGAAGTCCCTCACCTGGGCGATCTGCGCTTCGCGAGGGGTGCTCCAAAGGCCGCCTGGCGATCCATGGAAAAGCTGAGCACCCCCCTCCTGGAGTCCATTCAGGCAAATTTCGCGAACCGCGCCCAACCGTGACAATAGGCAGCTGTGGCGACGAGAGCCTTTAGAAACATTCGACACGACGACGACGGCGACGTCGACGTCGCCGACGTTTGTCATCGGCCACCTCTGGCGACATCAGCGCGGTGTGCACGGCGCGGCGGACCTCCCTTCGTACTCCTCCAGGGGCTAAGCAATAGAATTGCGCCCCAAAGCCTCGAGGCCTCGACGTTCGAAGCCTCCAAGGGCGACCGCTGGCAACGCCCGAGCGGTGTGCGCCAGCGCCGCGGGCCCCTGGAGACGACGTGGACGCGCCCAGAGGCCCCAAAAACTGATGCAGAAAAGACATCAATGGAGCCTCGGTTGTCCCACTCTCCAAGGGCGACCGCTGGCAACACCCGAGAGGTGTGCGCTAGCGCCGCGGCAGAGATAGGGGACTTGCAGGGGCCTGCAGACCCCCCAAACCTTATAAAAATCGTCGGTCGCGCCTTGGCCTTCGACCGCTCAAAAGTACACCGCGGGCAACGCCCGACCTGTCCCAGCGTCCCCCCCCTGGGGTGGATATTCGTTCCAAATCAACGTTTCATCGCCCTGTGGTCCAAAAAGCGGGCCAATTCTTGTTTGACTCGCAGCGATCGCGGGCGTTATGGGGTGGGAAGGGGGGTGTTGAAGGGGGAGGGCGTCGGGGGCGTAATGTAACGCCCCCGTCCCCCACCGTGCCAGAGTGTGGCGCCACACGCACTGTGGCGGCAGTGACGGTGACGCACTGGGGGAGGGGGAGCACTTCGCTGTTGGAAGAGGAAAGGGGGGGAGAGAGAGGGGGGGGGGGGGCATACCGCATGCCATGGCCCAGAGGGGAGGGGGCAGGGGAGGGGGGGGGAGGGAGGAGAGGGGATGGGGAGTGGTGGGGAAGGGGAGGGGGGGCAGGAAGGGCATGGCGGCTCTCGAACTCAAGATTCGCCCGGCCGGACCAAATCGTGCCGTCGGCGATCTGGGCGGTGCGCGGAGGGCCGCGGCGCCTCGCCCGAGGCCCCCGGCCACCACCTCGACCCGCGGCGGGCGGCCGCCCAGGGTGGCCCGCAGGTCCTGGCCCGCCAGGGCGGGGAGGGCGGCGGGGGCTCCCACGAGGCCTTCTGCTCCTCCTCCTCCTCCTCCTCCTCCTCCTCCTCCTCCTCCTCCTCGTGTTCCCTCCCTGTCCTCATCCTCCTCTTCCTGCCCCACGTGTTCCCCGAATGTTTTTTCCCAGAACGGCTGGGGAAACACATGGTCCAATAACTTGGCTAAACTCTGATGGGCCTGTTTTCCACCACCACCACCACCATAAATTGGTGGGGGGAAAGAGGTGGAGGTTGACGAGGAGGAGGAAGAGAAGGAGGGGGAGAAGGACCTCCTCCCCCCCCTACTCATGGTGGTGGTGGTGGTGGAAAACAAGCCCACCAAACTTTGCCCAAACGTTTGGCCGACGCCAAACACGTGCCCGATCCGGCGGTGGACCCAGCGTCCTCCAGAGAGGTTGCAGGGCGGCGGCGCTGGCTCGCAGCGCTACAAGGGGACCCACCAGCTCGCCTCCGCTTCTTCGAGGGCCCGCGGCGGCGGCTCTGGCAACGGCATTTGTCCCCGCAGCTGCTTCCACTACTCGCAAAGAACTACGTAGACGAGCGCGTTCCACTGCTCGCAAAGACACTATTACACTTTCTGAAACGAGCGCGTTCCAGGACTCGCACAGTGACTACTCGCAAATGGCCTGGATCCGCTGGGGCGATCTACGAGAACTTGCACCGAAGCAGACATGTGTATTTTCCAAGCGTTTGCAAGTAGGCACTTTGCGAGTAGCAGAACGCGCTCGGTGAAGCTGGGAGAAACATGGTTGCAAGAGCTGGACGGGCTACCAGCGTTCCCAGGCCAGGAGCCGTGGAAAGCGGACGTCGTGGCCGAGATCCTTCGGCGAATGCCCCGCCGGAAGAAGCCTGGGTTAAACGGGTGGTCGGTCAAAGAGCTGCGCCCACTGCCGCGGGAGGTGCATAGCTGGATCCCCGACGTCCCGGAGGCGGTGGAGGCCGGCGGCCAGTGGCCTTCCGATCTCGTGGAGCCCGAGCGCATCTTGCTCCCCAAGCCGGGCGGGGTTGCCGGGCCCATGGAACGTCGGCCCATTTGGCTCCTCCCTATGATCTGCCGCGACTGGGCCGCTGGCCGCGCGCGGCTGTTCGCTCGCTGGCGCCTCAGCTGGGCAGGTGAGGACGTCCAGCGGGGCGCCGAGGAGCGGGAGCTGGAAGCAGCCGAAGCCCTGGCGGAGGTGCTCGCGGGCGCAGCGGTGGACTAGCTGGCGGAAGGCTTAATTACGGCAGCGCCGACTTGGAAACTCTCCCCGGCAGCCTGGCCTGCGCGGGAGTGCCTGCATGCATCGCCCAGCCGGTCATAGGGGGCGTGCACAGACAGGCGCCGGGTCCGCGTCGGGCGCGGCATTGGCGGAGCATGGTCGCCGGCTCGGGGCCTGCTGCCGGGCTGCGCCCTGGCGGTCTTCCTGCTGCTGCAGCGTGCTCACGCACCCGCGGTTCCAGCGCGTGGGGTCCCTGGACGACCGCCTGCGGCGGCGGCCCTATGCCGACGACTGCACGCGATGGGCCCCCCGCAAGGCCGACGGGGCGGGCGACGTCGCAGAGGCTGTCGGCAACGAGGTGCAGCTCGCGGAGGCGTTCGACATGGCAGTGGGATACCAGCTTAATCGAGATAAGAACCGCCAGTTCGCGAACACGCAGGAGCTGCGGGGCTAGCTGTCCACCCAGGTGCCCGCGATCGCCGTTCACTGCAGCTTCCGCGCGGTGGGCGTGGTCGCCCACGTCGGGCCTGCCTGGCGCTGCGCTGTCGCCGGCACGCGGGCGAGGGTCGCGGGGGGCCGCTTCGTGCGTGTCGGGCGATTGCCTGTGCCGTTTCACCCACGTTGCCTGCTGGGCGCCGCAGCTGGCACCGCCGCGGGGCTGTGCGGGGCGTCGTGCGGGCGCCCGCCCGCCCGTGAACTCGCGAGCCTCCAAATGGCCGCGCGGGCGGGCGGCCGTGTGCTGGGGCGGGCTACGCGCCGCGGCCGAGGTGGTGTTCTGCGTGCTGAGCCCAACGTGGCGCCTCGATCCCCTGGCCGTGGTCACGATCGCGCCGCTCTGGCAGCTGTCGAAAGCGCTCCGCCGGGGCAAATTCCCGCGCGATCTGTGGCGGGAGGCAGAGGGAGCAATGGCCGCGGGCCACGGGAGCGGGTGCGGTCCAATCGCGGCGGCCGCGAGGAGCCTTTCGACATTGGGGCTCGGTTCCGATATCGAACTCTGGCGCGGAGTCCCTGGGTGCCCAGACGGGTGGCGGCCCGCCGACATTGCCCTGCGTGACACCCAGCAAGTGCTGCTGGAGGCCTGGGCCCGTCGCGAGACGCGCGAGGTGGCCGCCCGGCGCGCCGACTTCGCCCACCTCCGAGCTGGCGTTAACCGATGGGCCACTCGGCGCTTACTCGTCAGCGGGCAGTTGGCGCCAGACGCGGCAGGGGCACTCGATCCGCGCGGTGCTCGCAGGCAACGAAATAACTGAATCGATGGCCGCTAAATGGGGCCGGCCAGCGACCTGCTCCCACTGCGGCGCCGCGTGCGAGGACCGGCAGCACCGCTTCTGGGCCTGCCCAGCGTGGGCTGTCGCTCGGGGCGCGGCTCTGCAAGGGTCCGGCTTCACGCATGCCTCGCTCTGGCGGTGGCGGCCCGTGCGCCGCTCGCATTGCCCCCCTTCGCTGCCAGCCCTGGAGCAGCCGGTTCCGCGCCCGCAGAGGCTCCGCGCCTGGACGGACGGCGCCTGCCTGCGCCTCGGCGACCCCCTGCTGGCACGGGCGGCGTGGGGGCTGCGGCTTGAGCGCCCGGGCGCCGGCCCCATCGACGGCTGCGGCCCCGTCGACGGCGCGCAAACGGCGCAGCGAGCGGAAGTCACCGCCGCTGTGCGCGCGGACATCGAGGCTGGCCGGCCCGTCGAGTTTCTGACGGACTCGCGCTACGTCCACAACGGGGTCGCTGCGTGCCGGACCGTGCCACTTGGAGCGGCAGGGCTCCGACCTCTGGGCCTGGATCGCGCCGCACTGCCGCAGCGGCGTCCTGACGGCGCGCTGGGTCAAGGCGCACCTGGACGTCGCGGCCGCGCGCGCCCACGGGATGAGCGCCGAGTGCTGGGGGGGGCAACGCGGCGGCCGACTTCCTGGCCGGCGCCACAGCCGCGACGCGGATGCCGCCGCCCGATTTGCGCGCCGCGCGGGACCGCCAGCTGCGGGCTCTCGCAGCATCGCAGCTGCTGCTGGCGGCGGTGGAGCTCGCCGCCCCGAAAACGAACGACGGCAACCGCGGGCAGGGCGGCCCGCGCGTGCGGCGGCGCTGGACTGCTGCCGGGTTCCGTCCTCGCCGCTAGCCTCGACTGCAGGGCGCGCCGGAGGCGGCGGCCGCGTCCGCGCCGTCGCCAACCAGCGCCAGGGCGCACCGCCCGAACTGCCGAGTGGGCCGCGGAGACGACGTGGCGCCGCCGTCGCCTGGCGAGGCCGCGCGCGCGCTGTTCGCCAGCCGCGCTTGGCAGGCCCACGCGGCTATGCAGGGGCCTGCGTGGGTGGCGTGCCTCAGGTGCGGCTGCTCGGCGCTGCGGTGGCGCGCGCTCGCGCGGCGCGGCCGTGCCCAGGCTAGGCCCGCGAGCTGCCGCCGCGGGCGGTGGCGCTCCTTCTGGTGCCCGCATCGCGCGCAGGCGGGGGCGAGGTGGCGTGGCGAGCGGCGCTCGCGGCGCGCTTGGACGAGCGGCACGGGCCGCCAGGGTAGTAATTAGTTGCCGGACTTCCCTCCCCTTCCCCCTCCTCTGCCGCGGGGCTCTCGACTTGTCAGTAACAAAGTAAATGTTCCCCGAGTGAATTCCAGAACGGCTGGGGAAACACATGGTCCAATACACACGTTTGGCTACGTAGGCGTATTCTAAAAGCAGGCGGCGGCGGAGAAAAGCAGGTGTCTTCGATAGAAGCAGAACGTCCGCCCGATGGCACCAAGACAAGCCAATCCGGCCTCGAGTTAGCCTGACAGGGCCCACCACTGCCCCTTTTTATCACTGATCACCCAAGACGGGCCCCCAGTCCGCAGACACTGGAGGCGCCCTCAAGGGGTCGGAGGCTCAAGCAGGGGCACAGTGATGCGCGAACACTGAACAGCCCGCACAGCCCCCGGAAGCAGCTCCTCACCTTTCTCCCTCTGTCTCGGCCTCCAATTAGCAAAGGGGCGGTCAGCGTACGACTGTCGGCCGACTTTGTGAAGTCTGCCAGAGCCACCTCGGACGCTTTTTCGGGACCCCCGGGCCTCAGGGGCGGGAGTGGGCCAAGACCTGCCTCGTGTTCACCGTTCCGTTGGCGAAGTGCTCGTTCAATCCTCGCACCTCCTCCTCCTCCCCTGCCTCCTTCAGCGCCCGCCTGGCTGCCACGTCTGGGCATCGTCTTACCGATCCGCATCCCCACTGGCGTGGCCTGGCCCCGACTGGGCCCCTTCCGAGGGGCCTGTCCCCAGCTGGGGTGGTGCGATGGTGGGGCTGAGATGCATGGCCAGGTGGCGATGATGGTAGGGTAAACGATATCCAACATCTGACCCTTTCTGGCTGGAGAGCACGCGAGACGACGACGGCGGCAGCGGCGGCGGCAGCAGCGGCAGCAACGTCGGCGACGGCGACAACGACGGACCAGAATCCGCTCACAACTGGTGTCCCGTGGTCCGCCCTGGGCAATTTTGAATTGCGCCCAGCCGTGATGATGAGAACCTCCAAATTTCCCCGAGAACCGAGGAACCAACAAGGTACCGGTGCAGCCGCTCCCCAGACATCCCCCAAGGCGCGTTCTGGCCAGAACTTCGAGGAACATCCAGCCCTTCTGACGAGGGCTCTCCAGGACGAGCAGCGGTCCAGGCCCCTCCCCCCCCTCTGGCAAGCCTCGGGAACATCTGCCGCGGCGACGGCGGCGGCGTCGGAGTCCTTCAGCAGCGCCAGCGTCGGCGCGTGCTGCGGGTTGGCCTCGCGCCGCGGCGGCGGCGCGGGGCCCGCGCGGCGGCCGCGGGCCGCCGCCGAGCAGCCGCCAACGACGACCACGGCGACGACGACGACCGCTATGACCACAACCACGAGTCCGCCGCCGACTGCGACCACGACGCCGCGGCCGACGACGGCCAGGATGGCGACCACGACGACCACGACCACGAGGCCGCCGCCGATTTCGACGACGACGAGGACGCCGCCGCCGACTACCGACCACGAAGCCGCAGCCGACGACGGCCAGGATGGCGACTGCAACGGCGGCCGCGGCGGCGACCCCGACGGCCGCCTCGAGCCCGCCGCGGCCCCTGCCGCGGGAACCGCCAGTCGCGGAGGCCCCTGGGGCGTGCGCGCGCCGGCCCGCTCCGCAGCCGCTGGCGATCGTCACCGTCACCGTCGCTGCCGCTGTCGTTGCCACCGCCGTCGTCCTCGTCGTCGCCGTCGCCGTCGTCGTCGTCCGTCGTCCGTCGTCGGTCGTCGGTCGTCGGTCGTCATCGTCGCCGCCACCGCCGTCGCCGTCCATCGCCGTCGCCGTTGACGTCGTCGTTGTC